AATCGAAATCGTAAATGAAACTCTATTTCTGTGATTATTTATTCTCTTTTACTTAAGCGAGTTAGTTTCGACTTTTCGAAATAAATACCAATGAGGCATCGGCAGACTCGACGCGTTACCGTTTAAACAGTGAGGTCGCCTGCTTTCAAGTAAAAGGAGGCGAGGAAAGCGAAGACAAACCGACGGACACGCAGATTCAAGGCAAGTCCGCAAAGTAGCGAAGTTATTGATTTGGAGCACCGTGGCATGCTCCGCAATAGCGACCTCTCTCGCTACCGAACGAGAGATCGCCAGAAAGGGAAAGAGAATATTTTTAGCAAGGTGCGGTGAGCCACCATTCGGCGAGGGCGCGCATTGGCTGCCCGGCGAATGGGAAGCACGTGCTTTTGATGACCTTGAACCGTACTCTGCGTCGGATAGACGATCCCTTGGCCGATACAACCGTTCCGATACGCCACCCCTTCACGCTACCTTTCGATTTATAGTTTGCCCTACATACGATATTTAAGGTGAAGTGAAACCCCCTTCAAATAAGTCGATTCGAATACAACACTTTTTTTTAAGGGTATAGGACCAAACTGTCTGAAACTTTGACACATATCTTGTGATCATCTAAGAATTGTCCTGAAACATTCAAAATTTGGATTTTTCGAAAAAATTTGTAACTCAGCCCAGACCAGAACCAAAATGGCGTCGAGCTCTCATATTTCGATCAATCTACAATTATCGAAGGCTCTGATATGAGAAACGAAAGGGTCAGGACAATTTTACGACAATTTAGAATACTCTGGTAATCGATAAATTCGCATTTCAACGGGATAACGGCAAAAAAAGTGCTTTATGCCTTTATTCCGTTGAAATGCGAGCTTCTATGCTAAAACGGTGGGAATACGAGAACTCGGAGTGAAAATTTAATTGACCTGGAAATCACAGATAGCGCAGGGGGTCCCTCTGCAGCCAATTATGGCCCCAGAAAGCATGAATCCAGAGGATTTCTAGAGTTTTACTTCGATTTCTTTATAATTATTGTACGAAAACGGTAGGTGGAGTATGCCATTTAGTGCAATATCCAATATAATTCGACACAGCTGTCAATATAAAAACGAACGTCGACAACGTAGGTATTTAGAAAAATCTTCGTTATGCACGTCGATCAAGTTCCTCGACGTGTTTCACTTCACCTTAACCAGCTAACTGCGTTCGACGTGTATACAAGTCGATAACCCGTAACGTTATAGTAAATTCCGCAGGTAACGGGTAAAAGAGGGGTAGGGGACAAGAAAAGTGATGCATATGCAAAAAAGAGGAGGACAGGCGTGTAATCGTACTCCATAGTTTTACATATACGTGCACTTCAATTTTTCAGTACTGTGTACTACATTGCAGATTTGCAAAAGTTTGTATAATTCAAGAAGGAATATCTTGTCAATATTAGCAACGTGGATAGTAGAAAACGGTTTTATGATTCTGAATGAAATTGTATTGCCGGACTTCTTTCTTTAAGACCGTCTTTGCTGTCCCGTGCGTGAACGTCAAGTTCTAAATAATAATATACGAAATCTGAACAAAATATGGTTATTTGTTCAATATAAAATTGATTAAATCAATTTTATTTTTTCGTGGCATGTCAAAAAATATTTTTATATTTATATTTTTCTTATACTTTTTTTATTAGTCAACATTTTATACGTAACAAATGGTCTGGGGCTGGCCCTTAGATTTGGTTGTCCAAGTGCGGAGGCATCTTTTGCATCCCCGCCAGGAACGGCCCTATGTGCGCGGTATCTTTTTAGGACGCGTATCGACGCCTTGAATAAGGCTTTGCCTTCAGGGTAGCTGTTTGTGAAAACAATTAGTTTTGAACCGTTTCTAGGACATCAGTTACCAGGCACTCCGACGCGTTCTCATATCCAATACATTATTTGTTTTTCGAAAACCCGTGTTTCCATTATTTGTCCCCTTTATTTATTTGTTCTCTAAAATCGCTGATCTTTGCATGCAAAAGAAATTTCGTCTAAGAGTGAGACAGGGAACATTTCGAAGAGCTGCACTTTTTATGAGTTTCGGTAAGAATATAAAATAATAGTGGTCAAGGAAAAATGTTATACAGTCTCTACTAAACCTCAACTATTAAGCATCGACTCTCTAATTCCAGAGTCCAGTTTTCATTACCGGTTTGCTAACGCGTGACCACAAGTACCATAACCTCGGAAATACCTTTTCATGTGTTACTTCCAACTTTTAAAAGAGCTACAATTATGTCAATTATGCTACCAGTCGGACGTAAACGCAAATTGGTTGAACGATCATCGGCGCGCCCTTGTTGATTGCCGGTTATAAACGAACCCTCGGAAGTAACCGTAGGGGGATATTTTTCGCTCCCATTCTCCATCCGATTTCCTACAATTTTCTCTCACAATTATACAAACGTCGGGATACGGGGGTGTACGCTCATTCAATAAATAAGTTAACCATTTTTTTTATATTAAATAATACAAATTTAAACATTTAGCCAATGATGTCTCTTATTTCCAAGTAACAAGACCTCCAATTCAGAAAATGACCAAGAAAATAGCATAACCGACCAAAAATAAATGACTGATAAGATCATAGGTATCGTGTTTATTCCCACTAAATTTACGCACAATGCTCCTTGTCACCTGTTAATTTTTCATCACTAATGACTTTTCCCAATTTTTCGTAATTCATGAAAAACATGTTACTTAAGAGCTACATTAAGTGTTCTCTATTGGTCCAATAGAGGACAATTGATCGATAATAATAAGAGGAATTAGATTATTATTTTATATGTGCCATCATGTTTTCTTTATATTGCTACAAAAAATAATCTGAAAATAATTAAAGAACGAAGTTACGGTTTATATTGGAATGTCAAGGTCTAATACTCAGAATAGTAGAATTGGCAGCATCAACCGCTTGTACAGCTTTTTAACCGAACTCAGAGTTGTTTACGTTTTTAAAGGCCTTTTCGGATCTATTCGTATCGTATCTACTACGTTCCGAGCACTGATGGAAATATCGTCTTGGATTTATATCGAATTGTTCAAACGTATCCGTCCGTTCGTATCGGTTTCAATATTCTGACCGTAATCTGGACCGATATTTTCACCGAACGGACGGTGGGGTACGGTGCCAGAGCTAATACGTCTGAATGGACTCCAACACAATGTTAATGTGTTGCAGCAGGAAATTAAACGAATTCCACATTCTTTCTGGTATCTCGATGTCCGGAGATATACTGAACCGGCTATCACGGCATCACGGAGATCACGGCATGGAACGAAGATTACGGAAACGTATAACCCTGTACGGATGGCTGAATCGACCTCAAAATTAATTGATTGATACCAGGCACTTTGATATTCTTCCTTAATCTCCTCAGCCTGTCATTTAGTTGATGTTCTTTTTGGACATCTTTCTGTTCGTCAAATTAAAATATCAAAATTTCACTTCTGCTTAGATTTGAACAATCAGTAAGTCGCTTATAAGCCGGTGCAACACTTCTACGATAGAGTACACTCAAGGAAAACCTAGAAGTTGATTAAAGTAAGGTAATCAGATAGCCATACCCAGACTTCCCCTCTCCCTGCATCAATAGTCAATACTAGAGCAGTTTATAACCGAATTGAGTGGGTTCTCTGTATACTCGTTATAACCTTATATAAAAAAAATTTATTTCGTTCAACAAAAATTGAAAGTGGAAAATCTGAAAAAAAAAAACCATTGAATAAAGGAATGTATATACAGTTCTATATGTTATTTTGAAAGCATGTTAACCCTTTTAGTGCCGGCCGAAGTCGTTAGCCCTTGTAAAACGACGATATATCGTTCTCCAGCACTAAAAGGGTTAAGCGATATGGAAATGAAATGAGCAAGCTCCAGTATTTTAAAAATATAAAAGGACGATTGACCTGTTCTTCATTGCAAATTTACAAACATGGGGCACCATAATGAAAATCTATGTCTAGATCTACAAATCTTTGTATTTTTAACTTGAATAAATAAGTACCCAGAGTTATATATAAAATTAATACCACATATGTAAAAACAACATTAAGGGGTGCTCAACTGGATGTCTTGCTTATCACTCGCATTAAATTATGCATGAAAGTGTTACTCGGTTCAACTAAGCAACTCGTTAAAATATACACACAAAGAAAGTAGAGAAAATGTTGGTTCCTGCGAATTTCAATAATGAATATTATATAAATGCAATTATTTCTTTTTTAAAATGCATTGTATGCCCTTGCAACCGTTGCATTTAGAAATACGTTTATCCAAATCGCACCTTAAAATCTACAAATTATATTGCAATTTTTATCAAGAAAAACATTAATCGACTACACATTTTTCAGAAACGATTTTTTCCTTTCATTTTATCTATAAAAAAAATCCGGTTATTATTACTCAATACTGTATGTACCTCCTTAAATAAAAAAAATATTTACCGTTAGTCGATTTCAGGATTAATATAAGACCAACAATTCGCAAAATAAAGTCAACGGAAGTTGGAACATTTCAAGTACCGATTCGCCATCGGAGCTCGAAGGATGCCATTTCGCGAAGCTGGCCATTATCGTCTTCCAAGAAGCGAACCGGTTTGCCGGCTGGCTGGTCAAACGGCTCGACACCCAAGAGCGTCCTACAATGTCCGTATATTATTTACGCTATGGGAACGATTAGCCAATGAGGCACATGGACCATTCTTAATCGCCCAAGCGGGCCATACCTACAGTGACCGACACTAAACGATCATAGACGTTCCGAACGTCGCAGCATTTTCGTGACGCATTTGTGTACATACGCATTGAAACGCCTTTTCCGCTAGGCAGTCAAGCCCACGATGCCGGCAAAATGTCGCACTCGCTACGCCTTACGTATACTGCATGATACATTTGGTATGTCAAACATTCTTAAAAACTACTGAACCGGTAAAATGTAGAAAACGTGACTGATCGAGTAAGCGGTGGGTGTCTTACCTCCGTCGTAGTGCCAAACGGTCTCCGTACGGGTTTGGAAAAGAGTCCTCGTTGCGGCGCCTCAGATTTCCGTGGAATGTTCGTTCAGCAAATAATGGAATAAAATTCGCTTGCCCTGGGCTCGCGTCGTCCACGCGAATGGCACGGACTCGATGAGCGATCCTTTTTGGCCGAATGTATTTATGAAGCAGTTAAGATGTCCAGAAAACTCGGTTTCAAAATTTGCAATTGCATAGACGCGATCACTCGTACGTAGCCAGTTATGTAGTGAGACTGACCGAGACTGCCCGAGATCTCAGATCGCCCAGCTCTGTTGCCGTCGACATGGCCGTTTATTGGTGGTGGGGGATTCGCGTTCGGCGTTCCTTACGTTCAGTCGGAATTCCTGTTCCATTCCGACGTACACACATACGACATACGTATATATGTACGTATCCGGAGGATGCAGTATTGATTAAGCAACCGGTCGCTGCTAATTCATATCTAGATTTGCAAACAAAAAGTAACTGTCATTAGATGTTAATATTAAAAGTAAATGTGTAATGTAAAAACAACTGACAATTGTAAAACCGTTTCTATCGCAAAATTGCGGATGAACGAATGTTAATGAGTATTCAAATTTGAATTTGCCGCCAAATCTTGCGTGCTTTAGGTCCGGTTCCACCGTCAAGTTAACCGAAGTTTAACTGGTTTACACCCGGTTCAACCTGCTGTAAACCAGTTAAAGTCTGATTAATTCGAGTTGTGACCCGACTTGAGTGATTAAAAAAATGTTCATTTGTAAAGTTTGTAGCATGGACGTAAGAATATATGGACGGAGCCCAAGCTAGAGGGTGTGTGCCAGAGTAAGTAAGGGGGGAACACGTACGAATAATACTAAGGTAATGAGAGTGGGTCTAAAATCTTAGCTTCCTGATTGGCTGAGATTTGGTTACGCAGATAAATGTTATTCAACATTTTATTTCATTAACTCATCATGATTTTTTATATCAGTTTCACCTAGAAAGAAAAATGTTGATCAAGAAACTTCTGTTTCACCGGGTAGAATATTTTAACTTATAACTCATGTATTATAAAAAGTAATCGAAATTGCTTTCAAAATTACGCGCCACTTTCTAGAGCCAATCCATAAACGTAATGTGTTCATACGAGCCATCAGCCAGCTGAACCAATCAAGAGGCTGAACAAGTAGCACCAATATACCCCTCCCTTTCCTACGCGTTGGCTTGCCCCCTTCGTTTGAGATGGGACTTTGGGCTCCGTCCATATATTCTTAGGTCCATGAATCTAGTCACTGAAATATATAGTAAACTGGAACGCTACCAGCGGGTTCGGCTCGAGCTGCCCTTGAAGTCATCCCCACTACTAGGTGTACAGCCCTATTACAAATTTTTTCTTCATGAGAACTATCCTTAGATAATTAATTACGAAATACAAAAATCAAACGTAAATAATGCGAAACGTACTGCATGATTTTACTATACAGAAATATGACATTCAGTCAAACTATTGTCCTACTGATAAGGTTTGCACTATCACTTCCCTGCATTCCCCTGAACTTTCCTTTCGGACTGTACAAATAATGCGTACGCATCGCTTAAACTAGTTTAAACAAAGGCAAGTATATTTTCTCTGAGGGTGACAATGATGGAGAGCCGTCCATCGCGTATCTTCATCGCACCAATGCTTACTGAACTTGTGTGACAAAGATGCAGAGACAGCCAAATCTATCTCTCTCTGGGCAAAGCACGCCGTGTTTCTAAAGCGTCATGAGCATTCCAGTTTACTATATATTTCTGTGGTTCTAGTTTGTGGACACAGGCATTCGTTCCGATTCCACAACTCGAGTTAATCAAAGTTTAACTTGTTTACACCAGGTTTTAACCTCTTGTAAACCAATTAAACTCCGGTTCACTTTAACTGCGGGATCAGATCTTAACGAATCGACAGCTCTGACGAGTGGGAAATTTGAAATCGGTCATGGTATAATGAAAATTAATTCAACCACGACGATGCATATCGTGATAAATATCGCGATGAACCGTCGAATAAACATAGTCCTTCATTAATATAGTGACATTTATTTCTCGTCAATAGTATATCTCGGTAATATATGACATGATACAATAATTAAAAAATATAGTGTGATTTCTAAAGTACAGTAATAATATAGGTAAAATATAGCAATGTAATGACGTTGATGGTCACGAAGTCGTTCGATTGATTCAAGAAGAATTCGACACCGACACGATGGGACAATTGAAATAGTGTTACAAAATATAGTGCAAGTACACTTGCTATACACAATAAGGAGGGAACTTTCTTTCTCATTCGCTAATTCAACCAACATTTAGGTCACGAACTTATGGTCGTAGGTACGCTCGATCATCTTCTGAAACAATCCTTTTAGTTCCTACACATTTACGAGGTGAACAGTGCTAAGATATACAAAAGGGTATGACAATAAAAGAAACGTACTTTAACAATAGTACGTCGTTTTAAACTACAGGATAAAATCTACGGCATATTAAATCCTGTCCGCGTTCGTTTCTAAGATTTGGTCTGAGACGCAGACTGTGTTCGATTGCGTTATAACGTACAATTTAACAAGCTGTTCGCTATACCACTATTGGTTGCAAGATGAAATGATACGAAAATAAAATAAATAAAGAATAAAAATACTTTTACAGGTGTAAGTGCATTTTTAACTTCTGGGAAATGACCGAAGTCTCGGTCGACCGACGTTTCGTAGGCTCTTGTTAGATAGGCCCGAAATACTGAAGTTTCGTATGAATAACGATTAAATCTTCTAAAAATTTGACTCGACATCTTCACGCGAACGTGTATCTACATTACATTTAATCTACATGAATTTTCGCATTTGCAGAGGAAGGCCTACTTTATATCACATATAATATCGAAGATACATCTACACGATGTTTAAATGTTCCGTTATAGTATAAAGAAAAATACAAGGAAAATAATCAGGAATAATGCAGTATTTTTCCCTCTTGATAATACATCCGTCGGTGGATAATCCGGTACAGGCATTTATTCAAGTAAAAAAAAAATTAATAAAACGGTTTGACTCAACTATGCCAAAGTTAATTTTTTATAAAGAATGTAAAATTCGTGGAACATTAAATACCTTAAATTCCCTTCAGTTGTAAGGAATGTATACCGGTCCGTGTATACGTATTGAAATAAACACGAATGTTAGCTGCCAACTGTTTGTGACGTTTCTAAGTAGGACTCTATTATCTGCAGGTTAATGATTAATATCTTCATCGTTTAACCACTAATATTGCTATGCTTTGTTCTTAAATCGGGCATTGAACTCTTCAGAGCGCTGCCCTAGTGATCCCTTATCATTCCTAATCTAAGATACTTATGTATATGTATAATAATATTTGTATGCCTTCATTTTCTTAATTTCGATTAGATAACAATACACGTATATGTATACTATATATATATGTATATATACTACATGCTATATCTTAAATAATTTGATTATTGTTTCACCGCAGTATGTAAAATCATATTTTGAAATCATAATTACGCTCGTCATAGAAGTCGTTGTGAGAACAGTAATATTTTTAATACTTTGATTAAACTCGAAGTATTTTCTGATTTGGAAAAACACGGTGAAAATCCATAATTTTACACAATACATGGATAAACGGCGAGTGATAATTTTCTGGTCCCAAACGATAATAATCCTTAGGACATGGTATAGTTGGTATATAAAACTTAAAATCGTTTCTCGAATGATGTTCCTAGCTGTGGAATTAAATTATTTCTGAAAAATGCTATACACATAAGATTTTTCATTATCAACGATCTACTTTAACATTATGTAGAGACATATACACATTCGTAAATATATATTGTACAATAGTTTGGAGCTGCCACGCCGTTACAAGACACATTTGTAGTTATTGAGATAGCTCAATTAAAAACATTTATACTTTTATAACATAAATATCGAACAACAATAAAAGCAACTAATAGTCTTGTCCAGCATCTTCTATGTACAACCTTGAGGAATGTCGTGATTATTTTATGGAAATTGAAAATATATCGCTTATATAAACATTTCGCATAAAATGATCAACATCTTCTCTACTTTTTCAACGAAAAATTACCTGTCTGTCAATGAGTATCACTCCAATAAAATGTATTTGCTAATGTCACTAAAGGACATGATATATTCAACTTAAATTGTGTAAACAAATACTGCAATAACTCGGATTAACGAAATGCCACTAGTAATGTAATGTCGGTCTACTACAAAACTTGTAGCAAGACTAAACAGCTCAATTACTTAACATTTATTAGTGAGTATCTGGTATCGTATTGATTTTTTTTCTACCACAAAAATCCACCATTGAATAATTAACTTCTGTTATTGTTGTTATTGTTGTTGTTGTTGTTGTTGTTGTTAGGACTCATGGGGTTGCCTATATTATCGATTTCTCGCTGAGCTCGACTAATCTTTACTTTATCTCTCGGCGTCCCATCCTCCCCTGTTTCCATTGCAAACATTTTCATTTTTTCCTTAAAACTTAACTTTTCTGGTACTGCACCCATTTGCGAATTCTGTTGCTTCTGTTTTTCGGCCAGACGCTTCTGTCTTGGATCCCTATAAGTTAGTACAATAGTTAACATAGACTGAAATAATGAAACGAGAACAATGAAATAATAATTATTCAATGATTACTCATACATACTTGTAAACTTCCTGAGCCCCGATCACACCTGGTGTAGTTCCCGTAAATGTACCTCCAGGACCTTCCGGAGTTTTTGGAGAGGCCAGTAGAGTTTCAGCATCGTTTATAAAGTTCTAGAAATGAAATGAAAGCGTATGATTTAATACACGTTTCTTAGGAAAATATGTAACATTCGTAAAAGCACGTAATTATTGTCGCAATATATATTTGAATACAGTCATAAAAAATCACACTATACTTGTATGTACAATGTAGAAATACATTAACATTTCGAACGATGCATGGCACACTTTACACATTAATAAACATACAGTGCTTATATCACATGTAAATTTCATTCGAGCAAAAATACTTGATGGCATAGACGAGACATTACATGTCATTGATGTTAAACGGTTCCTGAATTGTCATGCAATGATGGATGTAGATGACATGTATGGCCACAGCAGAGTTTTGCAATTTTATAGTGTATACCTTATTTGGATACCTGCCATTGGATGCATTTTGACAAAATATTCATATTTTTAATAATATTCTTAAAAGTGGTACAAAGCATTTCACTGTGCCTTTAGTAACCATGTTATATTGCACTCGAATTTTTGCTGTCATAGTTACGTTAACATATTGAATTTCCATTCGCGTAAATAGTATCGAATAAGAAACCCATAAAGTGTTTTAAAATTTGTTTTTCCGCTACCAAAATAACATAAATATGTCGGAAATAAATACTTTTGGCTATTTAACCCTTTGCGGTCCTAAGACGAGCCTGACTCGACAATTACAAGGCAATTTCAGAAACTCGGACCGCAAAGGGTTAAAATATAATGACCAAATTTATGTAGTTATATAAAAGAGATTGCGCGGAAAAAAATGATTCGTCACTTACGTTCGGATCCTCTCGAATAGTATCCATAGTTATGGTCGATGGATTACTTGAGGTCATAGAGGGTACGGTGCGGGATACTGATTCGGTATTAGCATTAGGATCATGGAAAGAGACTCTTTTGATCATCGTTGTTTGATGCGAGGTAACAGGTACGGTTGATGCAGTAGAACCATTCGATCTCAACGCGCTTTGTTGAGACATTACCGCATAGCTAGATCCTCGTTCAGGTGGAAGAGGTGCTTCGTTACTACCATTCTGGGAAGCTAAGGACAAATGGTTTAATAAATAACCATAATTTGATTCACCATCACCAAAAATAATAGGGATTGCAATATCGCAGAGTATGTTCAAAAAACTTACAAGGAGGAGAGCTGGGGCCATTTATGACGAGATTATCCAGCCTTAGCATGCCAGGATGTAACTGCTGTTGGTTTCTGAGATTGGATTGATGCTGCTGTTGTTGCTTTTGGTACAACTGTTGCATTTGTTGTTGATGAATCTGCAACTGTTGCTGTTGTCTGACTTCTTCCTCTCTCTTCCTTTGACCCTCGTCAAATTCAGCTTGCTTCCTCTTAAGCTCGTCCATTCTGCGCTGTCTCTCTCTGTCGTCGTTTGTCTGACTCGAATTTGCAGGACATGGTTTTTGACTAGTTCCCAGCTGGCCTAAATTCGGTCCATATGAAGGAGACAAAGGTGCTTGGCCAGCATTATTTTGACTTTGGTTCTGCTGTGAATGTAGGCTTGGTGTGTCGTTCTGGCTGGTGTAATTGCCCGCCGTACTCGATAATCCCTGTTGGCTCGTTACTGTGTGCATGGGAATATTTGTGGATTGCAATTGGCTTCCTACAGGTTGGGGCGAGAGGGTTCCTCGAATAGATTGGTTACCAGCACTCGTTCTCGACAAAGTCTGTTGTTGGTTTATTTGATTGGTACTTCTGTCCTGAGTCGCAGCCATGCGCAACAGTCCCTGAACTCGTTGGGCACTCTCGTTATCAAGATCGTTGCTTTCCTCGTCGTCATCTTGCTGATTAGCGACTTCCTCGGCTCTCTTTTGGAAATCCCTCTCTAGCTGCAGTGCTCGCAATTGCTCCTCCTGTTGCGGTGTTCTATTAGGCAAGGTGCTTAACTGCGCAATTTGTTGATCACGCCACTGTCTGGCTGCTTCTCTTCTTCGCGCTTGTTCCTATAAAATGCGCAATTCCATTAGTTTCGAGATATACCACTTCCGTTACACGCGATACACGTCTTGGTGACACTAAAGTGACCGAACTGACCTTTTCTCTTTCCTCTCGTTGCCAAGGATTCGTTGCACTGTATTGGTACTGTCGAGGCTGTTGGGTTGAACCGGTTGCTGGATAGTAGCCGCCTCGAGGAGGATCTTGCATACTTGCGGTATACCTGTATGTCAGATTGTTTAATCGATTTCATACTAAACAGTTTTATAACTACAAATTATATTAAAAGTCAAGCCAAAGATATATCGATTTTATCTTGAAGAAAACAAATATTATCGATAAATATTAAACGATTTTCAGGCGATAAAAACTGTCTTACCTAGAGTCAGGCTGTTTATTGTACAAAGGATGTGTCGAGGTATTAGGTGGTGGTGGAGGTGGACTTTCTCTATAACCATCTTCTGGGAGCAATGGACGTGCTGGCGGGTTTTCCGTGGAAGCATCACCTCCATTCTGCGTACGATTCGGAGGGCCATCCGACGAGTATTGGCCATTTCTCGAGTCTAAGAGCCCGTTAGAATACTGTGTACCGTTTGAAGGATTTCCAAATTGCCGGTTCTGTTCCGGTCGTCCAATATCTTGAACCGCCACATCTCTACCTGGTTCGATAGGCGTTCCGTGACCTCGAAGTGTATCGCTTTTGCTTTTAGGTATCATTGCGTATTGGCTAGGGACTTGCTGGGGCTTACCAAACTGGTTTGCCAATTGGTATTGATTGTACTGCGGTTCCGAATGGCCATAATTTTGCGGAACAGGCCTTGCACTATACGTGGGCGAGTTAGGTCCTAAATTCGGTGTAGAGCCTATTGGTTTCGCGGGACGTACGGCGTTCGCAGCTTGAGAAGCCGTCATCGGTCGTACATTGTAAGCGTTTGGTCGGTATTGGTTTAAGGCAGGTGCCCCACCGCGCAATTCGCGTCTCCTGACTTCTTCCTGCATCTCTTGAAGCTTTGCTTCTTGCCGGATTATATCGCGAGAGGACTGAGATCTTGGTGGAGGACTCTGTACTGGCATCTGCTGACTCGAATAACTCTGCTGTTGACTTTGTGGTATGTACGCTGATATAGGCCTGTCCCTTCCCTGAGTAATGTCGGCAGACGGCCGATTTAGAGAACTCTGCGAACCTCTTAAGCTCTTTTGGGTGTGCAATGGATTTCTACAATAGGTAATAAGTATTTAGTCTCTTTGAACTATATTGTTACGTTGACTGCCAAAACAAATAACGAGTATACTATTGCAAATCGGTTGCCGGTGACCACCGTGGCAATCAACGTGTTAAAACAGATGCAAACGGAATGAAAAGAAGAGGATAGCAATGAATGGTGGCATTGAAAAAATGAATGATCCAAATTTTCTTAAGCAATCAGTGGAAAATTCACCTTTCATCTATGGACTGAGGCGGACTGGGTTGTTTCATCGTTGGGTCTTGATTTCTGTAGACGCTTAAATTTTGGTAGAACCGTTCAGCTTCGTTACTTTGCATGTTGTTTTGAACACTAGGATGCATCTGATGAGGGGTCAAATTAGGAGACGATTGCTGCCTGCTGACTAGACCAGTTGGTGGCAAAGTCCCCACTCTCATAGGATCGTGCAAGTTATGACTTGACCTAAAAGTCGTGGAAACAATCCATACATAGTATAACATTTACGATTCCATGGATAAAAATAAATTTGTATTCTTCCAGGATAATAAAATGTTGACAAAAATAAGAAAGCTTAGGGAAATAATGTTGCAAAGGATTGATCCGAAGTAAATATACCTGATACTTTACAATTTTCTGTGACGAAGCTACAAAAATATTCTAACAAAAATTGAAAGATTTGAAAAGAGAAGCGCCAAACAAAGAACGGGTCTTCGCTAAAGTAAACAGCGTTTATACTTAGTATTATAACTTGCTTTTCAAGGGTCTTGTGCCAGGTGTCATTTTCGGGTCCCTTATATATTTTTTTTTATTACATATCGCGGCCCTTCCAGGGTCCCCCTTCTAGTCTGGACATTATGTGAATGCACCCGTTGCACCTGCCTAGTTATGGCACTGTTTATACTATTCAGCTTGGACCATTTTTTTCAAATAAAAGGCATTTTGTCTATTTTAGTCATGTTGTTTAATACAGACCTTGAGCGCAATGAAGTTGCTCCGTTTATTGCTGGCATCGGAGGTGGCTGAACCGGAGGAGTAACACTGTTGCTGGATGATGCTCTGCTGTACCCAGGATTGAAGACTTCGTGTTGCTGTTTTCCCTCCGTCCCTACATCTATACGAGTAAAGAACGATGTACAATTCGGCTAATTTCTCTGTCTTAAAAAGTACCCATCGTCGGGAAGCATTGGTGCAGAGAAATGTACAAAATTTGAGAGAGCAAGCCTCAAACAATGCTAGACGGATTCCTGACGGTGATTGCATTTTAATACTGTCTATATTAGATGATTGAAGCGTGTATTATCCTATAGGCCGTGGCAGTCATGTTTCGTGACCAGAAAGTGAGCGTTACTTACTATGCAGGGCCGGGACAGACTTGCTGCTATGAATTTGTTGGGGGGTTGTATCATGTCCAAGTCGTGACGGAAGATCACGTTCGCTCATGCGACGGGGTCCTGCGGTCGCACAAGATGCACAAAAATGCATGGGTTAATGCTCAAACATGCTAAAAAGCTGCAGAAATGTAAATGAACGTGCACGCATGCTGTTATGAACGGAACGACATCATTTACTAATTTATACATAGTGCACGTCGATGACTAATCATCAAACGAATATTCGTAAAGTTAATGCTATTTCTCCAATGGTGGCTCGAGGTTCAATAAGCTTCAAAATGGCTTTGAAAGATCGTTTAGAACCATTTAACAAACCCGAATGGACTTTACGTGTAATTTCTTGTCGTATGGTTTGATACGCGTATACCCTGGTTTCATGTTTTCGGGTACATGTTGCGTACGCGCATCAACTTATGCCAATTATTATTTTTAAAGATATGCGCCAGAAGTGGGGAATTAGTAAAATCCATCTATAACATTTCCATAGAATCATACAGAACAGGTTTTACACAAGCAAACAGTAAATGGAGTAACAGAGAAGCAGCGATGTCAGTTTATGATACCCTACGAACAGAACGGTATTCGTATGAGCTAGGAGTGAGTTATGTTCCAAAGGAATCGTGTTAAAAATGAACCGTAATAATATGCGAGACCAAAAACGCAACTCACTGCTGTGGCCACGAATAACATAATAAAAATGAGCAACGTGTAAAAAAACGAATTGATGTCCCATCAAATGTAGTCTTCGCTTGCACATTCAACTTGCAATGATCTTGAACGTTCGGAAAAGACCAAATCATAATGTCAACTAAACCAGGCAGAGTGCAAGTTTAATAAAGAGTCTAATTGCATAGTCTGCCAGCTTACGAGAGTCATCATCACCGTCCAGTGGTGGAAATTCTCGAAAGATCCAATCCCCTCGCTCGAATCGCGGTGTCGGCTTTCGTTCCGAAACGTCTAAGTCACTTTTCGACTTCTTCTTCATTATTAAAGACCTCTTTCTAATTGGCTTTGCGATTTTAGGGTTACTTCTCAATACGATTGAATCACAGCTATTTGCGGAGCGTTTAATCTGACAATCCATAAATTGAGAAGAGTTCTTTGTTGAAATTTTCGTGAATGATGGTCCATCGAGATTCGTGCTTTTACGAATTTTTGGTTCTATGTCTAAAAGAAACTCGTTCGAGAAAGATGACTGATTTTTGTGCTCGTCAATCTTCGATATTCTTTCGAAAGATCTCGAGATCTTCTTTGTTGACGTAGAAAATGTACTTCGACGTTCATCATCCACTTCAAGTTCGTCGCAGCTTTTAGACACGTTCTCAAAGGATTTGTACGTCTTTCTCCTTGTTCCAAAAGAACTTCGACTCCTCGATATTTTATCAAGTTCCTCGCAGCTTCTGGACATTTTTCTTGTTCTTAAAAACGAAGTCGGTAATTTGGTGCGAGGCGTATAACTATTTCCCGGCTTTTCTTGGCCACTGGGTTTAGATTTAATTAACTCGTCCAATTTCCTACCTCGAAGTACCTCTTCTTCTCTCTCTCTTTCCCTTTCTTGTTCCTTTAACACCAATAACTCCGTGTCGGATTTTGAAAATCGTTTAGCCATTAAATATTCGTCATCATCGTCGTTAATTGAAATCGAGCTATGGACGGTTAGGTTTTTGTTCGCATATCCGGACGCCAGAGGTCGAATATGAAAGATATTTACGTCACTTCTGATTTCTGGAGCGGAAACCACTCGGGAGCATGAAGGAAATATCACATACTTCGGTGAATCGTCCGCACTATTCAAGCTATCTAACTTTGTGTCGTCGGATGACATCAAGTCTTTCAACGACCAATACTTTTCCAGCCTATTGGTCTTATCATAGATTTCAAAATTGGACCCAATATCTATGGTAGTTCCTAAAATAGTTGGTAAAGAATGTTTTCGAAAATGTTCTAAATGAACCTTGCCAATAACGGCTGGGAAACTAGGAACCTCGACCAGGTTAGACCTTGCATCCTCGACACTTGACTCTGTCACCGTTTCCTTGTCGGAGTTGGATGCACGTCTGTCACCAATAGTTCCATATATTCTCTCCCTGCTTTCTGGTATAAAGAGTGGCGCATCTACGTTATCTAAATTTGCAAACTCTTTAAGTTGTTTGATAATTTCATTTTGTTCCGCCAAGGACAATTTTGAACTGCTCTTTTTCAGTTCCCCTAGGCTCTCGTCAACCTGTTCTTCCGATCTCTCACAGGAGAAGAGACGCCTGTCAAAGTCACTGTATTTTACATTAGTGCCTTTGTCGAACTTAGAACTGCCATCATTTGATGTAGTAATGTACAATGTTGGATCGTTCCTCGTCTGAATGTCCACTAAAATCAAGCTCCATTCTCTTTCCGGCGTAGTTGCCACGCTCTTTTCTGAGGTAAGCAGATCAGCCTCCGACTTACACTCCTTAAGATTTCCTTTTCTGCCAATCGTCACTTCTGCTCTCCTAGAAGACGCAATGTCGGGTTCCGACATGAATTGTCTGGACATTGATAATCCGTTGGACTTAAATTTTATTAAACCAGCTTCGCCAAGCTTGGAAAAGTGTTTCGCCAAGGCGGCTACTCTTCCACATCCTAGGCGCACCTCTTCAGGCGATTTCCAACATTTCTCGGCGTTTGATTCATCGCTAGAGGCGTCGCTATTAAGTCCACTTAAATCTAGATTAAGTTCTGGCATTATAGTATGCATCTTCGGTGTAGATATCATATCTGGAGCCACGATTTCTTCTCTTTGGCTTTCTACACTGTCGGACATGTTACTCTCGTCGTGTGTTTCTTGCGAATCCGTAGGTTCTATTTCGGCATCTGTTTCGTCCGAACTGACTGGCGGTCTACCCATTGCGTGTGTCTTCGGCGCCTCGGTTTCATGAATTAACCTTCTAATGCAAGGACATTTATGGGTATGACAGTGACAATGCGAGTGTACGACGTCTTCTGTGGTTGTCGTTCCAACTTCCTTGGATGAGTGCGTTACTGTCCCGTTATCGGACGTTGCTGCACTCTCTGCTACTTTATTAGTAACACCTGGTTTCTTTGACGGAATATCGTGACTATCGGCCAGGTAAGTTTGTTGGCACGATTCATCCGTGGTGGAGGTCGCTTGTAAACAGGTATTCTTGTGCGGGCGATCCATTAAGTTTACGTGTAAGTTACAACTGTTGCTTAGCTTAGAAGTAAAATTACGTTCCTCATGTTTGCCCGTAGTATTTCTAAATAGGTTTTCAGTGGAACTTTCGCGGAATTGCCCAAGTTGTTCTTGACTTTCATCCGACTGGTCGATGTATGGAATGGATGGTTCGGCTTCGAACGAAGCAGCTTGCGCAGCGCAACATTTATTACTGACACCGTACTCGATATCGGCAGAATTTAAGCCATCGTGAGACTGATTTCTTGTTGGAAATATTAACTCAGTCTTGTCTTTGTTGTAATAACCGTATTGCGGAGCGATAGGAGTTTGTGCCTGAACTCGGCTTCTCACAGGATACGGAGGATAACGCTCTACGTGGCTCGGAATAGTTAGGAACATTTGATTAGGTTCCTGAATCACAGGAATCGGGCGATTGTTGGTCCAGTATCCCCCTGGCGCTGCGTATTCGTGGACTGACGTTTCATCGATAGGATACATAGCGAGACACGAATTATTAATACCCTGTCGTACGAGTGTTCTGTTCTGAGAACAAGGGTTCAAACTTTGCTGCGCTCCTACATGTTGAGATTGATAGGAATGGCTAGGAGATTGGTAATGATTAAAATACTGAGACTTAGAATGTTGAATTTGGGATGCCCTCGCACCTGGTTGCACATAGCCAACGTCCCAATCGACCAAACGCTCTTGGTACGTAGCCTGTTTCGGAACGGATATTAAATTGCCCATGGAATGCGATGTGGACGGCTGGGGAGCTATTTCCGGATGTCTGGGGGGCTCTAAGTGTTCCGATTTTGGTCGCGCCTTATGTGCTGCATGAAACATCGTTAGTTAAGCATTAGTTAAGCGGTAAGTTCGAAGAGCGAAGCATAGACAACATGTTCAGGATTCTACCCAAGCAAAGGTTGGAAAAGATTGGCAAAGGTTATGAAACGGTGTCAGATTTGCAAAGACAAGAAGGTACGGATAATTAGATTAAAAGAATGAATGGTCACGTATTCCGTTTTCCTGTCTTCAATGTTCTAGATCTACTTTGATGATAGATTTATAATTAGACTGTCAAGTAAGGTAATATTGATACACGAGAAAAAAACTTGTAATCAGAAAATAATTGGTTGGAAATTATACAAGTGGAAAGTATTTATTGACCATTTCGTTAGCAAATGTAGAAAGTTCAACAATGTTAGATATTCTACTAAAATATTGTCCTTCTACACCGATATGAAACAATAGACCCAGATTGTGCTTAAGATTTAATCCTGAACCATTTGATTCTTTTAGTATGCATGTCGTGACAGTGGTGAAAGTTATATCATTTAATTACATTCGTAGAAAAGTATTCGCCTTTCAACCATATACATCTTATTTGTTCAACCATTTATAATTGAAAGATAAAATATAATAAATTGGTACTTACCTCTAGTCATGACTGGAGATGGCTGCGACAATAATGTCGCTAATCCGTGGTATATGGCACCTTGTTTAGCAACTTCTAAAGTTACAATTGGTCCGGTACGCACGAGATGCTCAGCAGCTCTGCCAAAATTACAGTATCATCGGAATTAAGATATTAACTCTCGATGAATAAAATCTTTGTATTTAAGAGATGAAAGACGGTAGAACTTAAACATACTTCTCTTGTGTAATGCCGACCAAACTCTGACCATCCACTTTCAACAGTTGATCTCCTGCTGTTAACCTACCATCCTGTAACAATAAAAGGAATGTATAGGTCACTGTACCTGCTCAACACAATCGTTGTATAATATAAACGACTGATAATTACAGTCGACTAAACTAATAATATTCAATAAATTTCCAAATAACTATTGGTGCACACGGACAGCATTAAGCATGACGTATAGACTTACAGCATCTGCAGCACCTCCGGCAACAACACTCTTGATGTAGATACCCAGTCTATCCTGACCAGCACCCTGTAACAAATATGTTCAATTGGTACGATTTCCTCACAAAAATGGTAAAGTATTGCATGTACCAGAAAATGTATAATACACCAAGAATGGATGAAAGGAACATCAACTAGCATAACAAATGTTTTTGTAGACCGCCAAAATCGACGAACATAAAAATAGTTATTTACACGTAGGCGTTTATATATAGGTAGTTATAAGTTCTATTAGGATTATCGAGACTCATGTTCTGGTAAGTTCAGCACACCGAGAAGATAAAAGCTTCAACTGTATATACTAGCAAAGCATTCGAGTCACGAAACCGTGAAAACTAGCGAACCAGTCAAACAACTTTGGCCGCAAAAAGCACAACGATATATGGAGTGTGCCGCGAGATCGAATAAAAATACAAAAATAGTTTCTCGCACGTAACATTGTCGGGAAGATTATGACAACGTGTGATGGAATGATTCACAGTGCAAGACTGTAATAAACGGACGATCTTACTACAGTGGTAGTTCTGTGTATAAAAGCACGAAACAAAACCGAACAAGAATGAACATGCATGTTTGTGGATTAGAGTATACCTTGGCAGCAACGATGCTGAGTCCCATGCCGTTTGTAGACTTGTGTAGCTTAATAATTTGGATTTCTGGCTGGCCTTGATTTTGACTAATGTGACCTGAATACCCGCCCGATCTGTTACTCATTGCACTCGAACTGCGAAGCTGTAAGCAAAAAACTTTTGATAAATTGCACGTTAAATTATTAGGGCGAGTATAAAATATAGTTGGCCAGATGAACATACTTTACGTCTACATTAATTTCAAGGTGAGAACCACGTTTGTTTGTTGTTTCTCTGCCGATATTTCACAAGTGTAAATCCGATTCATTGATTGAATTAAAAAAAAGGTATCCGATTGTTTGGCTACGATTCCTTCCCCGCCGTGGGGACACTTGCGGCATCAGTCAGAGTGCGTTAGGATCATATCAAAGGTATTTTCCAAACAGTGAAACGTCAGATTTAGTGCCTCCAGCCTTAAAGATGCAAACTGTAGCGTTTGAGAAACATCGGCAGAGAAACGATAATAGACGCGGCTCCCACCCGGAAGCTAATATAAATGTGAAGAACAATAATCGCGAAAGCCTAAAATCATTGACCAACATACATTGTTGTGGTGGTCGACCATGTATATCGTCCAGTATCCACTGCTGGTTGGTTGCGGGGCCATTCTACAAAGTCCGTCTCTTTGCAATGGTGCTAGAAACTCCGCCAATCCTGGCGGTACCCCTCTGATAACTTCGCAGCTATAACCATCTTCAGGAAGCAACAATGCCAATGCTAACGTGGGTTCTTCTTCCAAACGTATTTCTCTACCATCAGCTCTCGCCAACGTGTCAGCAACGCTTTCGGCCACCTAATAGGACAAATGACTCAAATAACATAACATAAAGCTACGATGATCGGATATGGATGCAAGCAATATAGACCGAATTCTTACTCGAACAACATTTTCTATCAATTCAGCGGGCAGCCTGGGTTCATCTGCAGCGGGTTGGTACTTCTGCAGCAGCGCCCTGACTTGCAAGGAGTTCAATTTGAAACAGGTAGAACTTAAGGTTGCCAATTCCTCGGCATTGTACTTCGGGGCTTGTAAGAGGTGCGTGGCTTGCATTATCGTAGCCAAGTGACACTGGCTTGCCAACTCCAGCCCTTGTCTCTCCGCCCATGTTTCCAGAGCATTTAATCTGGCTTTCAACCTGCGGCCGAACCACCTGACGCAGAGGTTTCCATTGGATACGAGAGCATTGAAGGCGGTGGCGTTGATGGCGTGGAATAAATGGCTAAACAGCTGGATGGTTAACGCGGCATTGACCCTGCAGCGCCTCAGAAGAGCCATGGTGTTCGAAAATATCTGCAATACCCCGGCCTCCTTTGCTGGCTCGTCGGCATCCGCCATGAACTGGGACATCGCCGGTGCCAGTTCCAACGACACGCAACGCACGAGAGAAGCAAAGGCCGTATGCACGGCATCGGCTAGAATGTCTTGAGCTCTCGTGGAAAACGCCCCGACGTGTCGATCGTTTTTCAACATGTGCAATAACTCGGAACCGTTTGCCAACCAAAGAGCCAAGGACGATGCATCCATGTACCGTTCCTGAAAAGCAACAAAACGATGTATCGATGTTTTTGTTGTATCATTTGCTCCCTGCCATTGCGTCGGCTCCGAAACCTACTTAACCACTTCGAAATCTCATCGTTATCTCGCCATTATTTTACCCTCTGATACGATCTTCCGAACGACACCCACCTGTATGACTCGTTGAATCATCGTAGCAACATTGGCCAGCATGACGGTCAACCTGTGCGCCCTTTCCGTGGGCTGCAATTCGGGCCTGTAGTGAGTACTAGCTCTGTATCTCGCCGCGAGATACAGAGTATACGTCGGAGCTAACTTGAATTGCGGCGCCGATGGCTCCACGTCCGTAATAACGGCGTGCAGGAACGCCTCCTCGGTCTCCTCCAGGAATTCCAAAACCGCGGGCAAAATTGGATCGGTTCCCCGGGGATGGCGATCGTACTGGGATAACCTGTAAACGTTTAAGGTTTCTTGGGTGATGTCGCGATTTACGAGGGCTATTGCAAGCGCAACTGACCGTTTATTCGGCTGCCGGGATACACCGGAGCGTGATATTACATGGCTCGGCTACTTTTACACATCTTAGACCAATCCCTTACCTTCTATCTGCTTGGAGTTTAGATCTCCGTGCCGACACACGGAGCTCCTTCGTAACTTCGTGACGGTAATCGAGGTACTAACGACACCGTCAACACGCATACTACTTTCATTTCACAATGGCGAATAGAGAAACATCTAGCGGTCGATTTAAAGCGATACGAAAAGCGTTTCTTACCTGTTGCCGTCCCTGCTGCTGGTCAGACTGGCGGTTTCGACGTTCCCGTCGAGGTCGAACGTGGTCTCGTAATTGTGCGTGGCCTCGGAAGCGTGTGCATTATGAGTCGGGCTTCTGGGGCTCGCGACTGCCGATTTTGTGGGACTCGGCGGATTGGACCCGTGTCCTCCATTGGGCGTTCCAGAACCCGATCTGTACTTCTCTGAGCTCACTTCCTGGCTCGTGGCGTCCGGTGAGCGTCTATGCGTTTCGAGCAGCGTGCAGAGCGCAAAGCGTAAATAATAACGGGGAAAGAAAGAAAAAATGAGCTTGGATCGAAATTAAATAAATCAAACAAATTTAGTTGAACTGGGTAAATGACTAAACCAGTTTCATATAGTTGATTAATACATTGCTAATCGAAACGACTACGTCGAGAACAAAATGTGCAGACATGTATACCCTACGAGATGTTCGACAAAGTACGTCGGCTAATTAAGGTTCAATTACCTATCGTACGCGTAATCCAGTTGCCTGTTCGAATCGTGACGCTGCCGGATTCGCTCTTCCGGTGCAGGGTCTATAAACCTGAAGGTATACATCCGGCCGAATTTAATGATCGCTCCGTTCTGAAAATGACAAATAGAATTCAATTAGGAGTCTATTCTGAATCCGTATCAGTTATGTACTAAGTACGTTTTCACGGTATATCGGTTACGTGCACACATCCATCTCGTTTCGGAGACACGGGTAACTCGTTCGATAAAAGGACGTTCATATGCCTTGCAACTGTTCACCTCCGTTATTTGAGGAATCGTTCGTTCCGTAAGCTGAACTCTCGGAAAGGACTTGCGCATATAACTGATGTTTGAAATGAAAAATAGATAATCGAGAGTTGCAACGTCAAATTAGACTCGGTAACCGGACCCTAAATTTTGCATTTCACCTGGCAAGGAACAGCAAAATCGGCAGTTTTCCTATTTAGGGAACAATACCATAAGAAAATTGGCGTCTTAAGATGTTCTAATACGTACAGATACCGAAAAGGTTCTAACATATAATGTATATAACATATTAATTAAAATAAATTAATAATTTACTTTCTCCCGTCCTCGTTTTAAAAATCCCTCTTTACGTTCAAGGTTCCACTAATTAATTGGCAATACGAGCACTCAATCTGTTCGATTCCATTGAGATATGAGACGCATTTCAAGTTTCTATGTATCCGATTGCGATCAATTACAATGTCTTGAAAAAAACAGCGGGAACTCAGAAAACCGACCTGTAGAATGGTGGTTTGGTGTATCCTCTGGTTATTGACATAGGTGTGAGCGTCCCTCGAACACGGGGTGAGGGTGACGATGTTCTCCGTGAAAGCGATGACGCAGTGCCTGGGCATGACGGTGGGCCCGGTCAGGGTGAGAGTTTGGGCTTGAACGGCCTGGGGCCCTATGGGCTTCTCGGACCCCACTTCCGTAACATTCGGTTGCAGCCGATGGCGAACTCCCGATCCGTTGGCGATGTCGGTGCCGTCTGGGTTCAACTCCAGCAGGAACGGCAACCTCTCGTCCTCGTAGCGGTGGTCCAGTTCGCTCCATTTTCCGGCAGGCTTCTTCTTCCTCTTCCGCGGCACGTAGTCCACGGGTCTCCGCCTTACGTGGAACATTATAGATCCTGAAATCATCAAAAGAATCCTTGATAAGCAAATGATCCAATTATTGAGGAAAATTCAAACATTACTTTAAAAGAAACCTTCGGTTTTTCGACGAAGAACAGTTTCTGATACAAGTGTAAAACTGTCAAGATGTAAAGTTTGTCACAATAAGTTATTCTTAGAGCGATGTAATGTGTAGTATTAGTAGCACAGACGACCCAGTTTCACGTTAATTAGATGGACCGTTATAACGTATCCTCTGATATTTTTGTACTCATGACGTAGATAAGGAAATTCTGCAGTCCGATCCAAGAGGTCAACGTAATGCATCCTTTGACATCGACATACCGCCAAGGACTTTCCTACAAACTCTCCCGGAACTGGACGGCAAAATGCAACCGGGTCTCCGCATCGATATTGAATAAACTGTCTCTGCAAGGATTCGTATATCCTTTCGACCGACTATCATTGAAAAAGTCACTTGAAGCGGCGTAAACTTATACTCAAAGTTGATTAAAGCTATGGGAGGCACTACGCGAAAAATCGGAACTTAATTCTTCAATCCTTGCACGTTTGTACGATGTTAACGTTACACACATTAACCAAGAAAACAAAGATAAATAGTTGAATAAAACGGGGAAGTAAGAAAAAGTACCGAAGCAATTAAACTTCTTTGTCCAGCCCATTTTCCGAGTTCTATTTTCACCGGCGCACTTTCAAATCTTTCTCTGAGCTTTCACTGATGATGAAACTTCTTTTGTCCCCCTCCCCCCCCCCGCCCACCTCACACAGAGGTAAATCGCGGATTTTTCGTCAATTTGAGTACGAATCGGACTACTTATTCTTCAGATTATCCGGAGGAGACCGACGGTAGAACGCGAAAGCCACGTTGAATCGCGCGTGGCGATGGCGTCGACGAAACGTCGCCGAGTTGGCCCGAATGTCACTAAAAATAAAGTCACCAGGGCCGCGAGCGGTCTTCTGTTTACATGCCGGCATGCGATTTTCGTACCCGGGCTTCGATTAGGCAATGTTTACATGGGGCCCTGCTCTAATCGATGCTCGTGTCCCATCGATTAGTAATCTTCAAGGAGTGCGGCAGTGATAATCGATCACGTCGTTTACACTAATTCTGCCATGTCGCTTCGGTGTAGATGCGACCTAGTTGTAATTTAACTGTTAAAAGTGAAAAATTATATGTTTTAAAGTTTCATTTAATTCAGGCTGTTGTCTTTGTAATTGTCATACTTTCAAGAAGCGCGGTAACATTTAGAGGTTCAGAATTTTTCGACAAATTAACAGTATTGTAACATATATTATACTATATAATTTTCCACAAATATTTCATATATTTTATTTAATTCAAGCTAGGGCTGTATTTGTTTAGTAAAAAATGTTTAAACAGTATTTACCGACCATTTTGTAACTATCGAAAGTTGCAATTTGCGCAATACTGTAGTAAATGAATGTGGTAGCTAACTGCGTTAATTAAACAAAAAAAGTGATTAAACTTTTAATAACTTAATACTAGACAGGTATATAGATACTAGACGGTATATAGAATGATAAAAACAGTGAATAAAATAAGTTACCACCGTTTCAGTAAATTCCGACCTTTGACAGGTATAAAACGTTCGGTAAATATCGTTAACATTTTTTTATTAAGTAATATTAAAAACTGGAGTTGCGATAAATATCAGCACTTCGGTAAATACCGAGTTTCGACATACCGTATTTCGGTAAATCGTGATACCGAAATTCGGTAATTTTTATAGTTACCGGTAATTACCGGCATATCGGTATTTGGAACAGCTCTAATTCAGGCCTGTAAAACCCTAGAAGTAGGTATATTAATCTGCACGGAACTATTGCCGTTGGGCCCCATGGACCCAATGGTTCTAGTAGTCTTTACATAACAAATTTTCAATAGTAGGAGTCACGAGTTAAATCTCAAATTTGCATTAGACATTTACTTTAGGTATTTTGCGCGTACGAGAGTTATACCTTGATTAACGGAACTTTTAGACGAATTTTTTGAGAAGTGAAGACGGTAAAATTAATTTATATTATGTCAAATTAGATTAACAGACATGTAACTGACGTCATTACTAATTCGGTACTCCTGTAAATAGCTATCGCGATATGGGAGTATTATTTTAAATGCATTTATTAGTTGTATGTACTAGGTATGTACGGACCGCATGTCATGCGATGTCGTGTGATCGAACAGGACAGAATTTTATCGGCCTGTGTGTAGTACGTAGAAGAAGGAATACATTATTCCATCCATTTTATTCGGGAAACACGAGATCCTACTCGTAATCAGTCACGGCAAAAGTATACAGCTTCAAGAAATCATTTTGCGAGAATTGGTTTCAGGATTCAAAAGATCCTCTGCTATTCTACACCTATGGTACTTTTTATTCCTTTGATAGTGCAGCGCCAGTTCTATCTTGCATCGCTATAATGCACGGCCACATTTCCACCGTTGATAAAAGCCAATTAACCTGAAAGGGAGGCCTTCAAAAATGATTGACTGCTTCCACCAGCGTGGTTACAGCTTTTACCAGTACGTAAAATGACTACCAATGGGAATTAAAGGACCCAAAATGTTCGATCTGGGTTTTGAAAACGCAATCGCAATGGGAAATGTGCATTTCCAGGTTGAATGAGTCCTTTTTGACCATTTATTTCACGAGCGATCGGAAATCGCGCGAAGAAAAGAGCAAAATATTTAGCATGCATCAAGAATCAATGGAAACTTTGTATAGTTTACCACTTTTTCGTTGAAATCGAAAAAGAACAAACCGAGAAGGATCACGCTCCCTTATTATTCATAAAAATTCCGGCCACGTAAGATCGACTGTTCGTTGAAGCAGTAAGCGAAAAAGACATAGTGAACAACGAATCCGTCAAATGTAATGCATTGAATTACACGAGTAAGCTGATATCTGACTTAAATTGCGATACATGACTCGTTTACAACCCGGACTACCTAAAAATGACCAGTCTGATCTCTCTAGTTGAAAAATTGGAGTGACAACTGTCGCCTGTGAAGTGGAAAATTAATAGCGCACTAGTAGTAAAAAAATATATATTGAAACAGCAAAAACAATGAGACAAGAAACTTGCTAATACCACAAACTGATTTTTTTTTAATAATTCCAAACGTATCCTCGCGTTGATTTGCGTTTATTAAGTGAAAATTAAGCGTTCAGAGAGAATATTCCGATTTTTAATCACGATAAACATATATTTTAACCAAAATCAAAGACACGGTATTTCGAAATGAATTAAGGAACCGTACGCCGGATATGTGCTCATTTAACATTACGGCATTATTAGGTGTGGGCAGGTACGCGGTTTTATCACAATAGGACGGTTCATGGGATCATAGGCAACGGTGTCACATCAAACAGGTCACATCGTCTTGAAATTGCGCCGTGCATAATACATGTTATGTTGTGAGCCATATCACCATGAGCTACGTAGGAATAAGTGACGCACTGTCACTTACACGGACAGCGAAAATAACTGACACAGAGAACTCTTGTGCAATTATCATGCGGCACTATGGATAAATAAGTAAGTACATGCGTGTTGACGTACAAACGTACATGCTATCCCATTTGTTGTAAGGTCAAGATAATAATGACGCATCGCGTGAAACTTACAAATTGCATTCATTGTTCCCGGTGAATGAGATCCTCCTCCTCGCTTACACGCCAATTAAATGATAGCCGTACAATTGTCGGTAACGACTAGATTTTCATTGAATGAATACGTTAAAAGCTATCTAAACTCCGCGAATAAATGTAAATAACGCAATATTTCATGCATCGTTGGTTGAAGTAATTTTTGAACGTGGAAACCAATATTACCCATGAAATCTAGAGGCTTATCTATCTCATTTATTGGTTATATAAATATTCTAGAATGTACAATTACTGTTGATGTTATAGAATAAATATTTTATAGGGCTGTAAGTTATGATGTTTCAGGTATTTGCCCTGTCGCGGGAGTTATCGCCGTTTCTTTTATCAGATGATAGAAACCATTCCCTTATCATATTTCGATCAACCAAGTGCAATTTTCCCACCAACAAATGATTCCCCTTTCGTCTGTGCCTTAATATTTCTGGGGAATCTAGACAAATGTTGAGGAGCTGAAACGTCGATAAATTCTGCTGGCAAGAACTCAATTTCCTACCCTTTTAAGGTTCGGATAGGAGTGCAACGACGCGATGGGTACAATACCTCGAAAGAGTAGGCCTTCATAAGAGGGATGACACGAACTGAGAATTACAGGCCATTCACAAATCCTGGAAACGTCGAGGACTTTTCTCTCCGCGGATAGCAACATTAACATCGACAAAAGCCTGTGGACATGATCCCGAAGCTAGGACACGCATTTTACTACCGGTTTTTCTGATCACCCGAGTCTTTTCTGTTTTCGAAGAAGAAACAAAAAAATTAATGCGTACGATGCCTACGTCAGAAATTTAGATTTCGGTTTCGAGAGTTATCGGAAGCCTGAGGAAACTATTAGACGTTCAGTTGAAGCCCGTGAACTTGTTAGAAATGCTATCGCGTCTGTTGATATGACCGACAAGTAACGAGTAACATGTTGTAATCGATTTTAGGTATTTGAAATAAGACACAAATATTTTTTAATACTCTCCGAACAATCAGATTTGTTTACATTATATTAATATAAAAAGTGATCGACCCGAGATTCATCGGGACCGGTTTTATAATTCAATTCCTATACGATTTGCTCTATTTATTTAAATTTCAATCGATACCGATGATTTTTACGAGTCCAATAACTGTATTCTATTTCGGTAATCATTAAATATTTCGGCTACGTAGTCAACTTTAGACCTCTTCCTCTATTTGCGGTAAACGTCTATGAGTCAATACTGATACGAAGCGAAAAATGATTCTCAGGCAGAGTGCACGGGGAATATTTTTCAGTAAATTTTCACGGATTCACAAAAAAGCTTACAAAATTTACCGAG